TCTTTGTCTATGTCTTAATCTAAAGGCAAGTTTCAACCATTATAAGTACCATGATTTGAGCTCACCCACACATTCACTAACATCCTCATCAGAACGACAATATAGTATGATTGTAATCATGCGGGACTTTATTTGAATATCACAAATTATCATAATCAGTTACATAACTTAAGTTTCTATGTACACTTTTAATGTCATGGGGATTTATTCTACAAATGGTAGTCCCGATATACTGAACTCGGTCAAACTATTGTTAAGTAAGTATAGAGGTATAATCAGAATACTGGTTAGTGGTTACATCGAAGTTCAAGGTTATGATGGGTGTGTTCTTGGAAATATATATCTCCATCTTGTTATTACACATCTTAAGTATACCCGCACGGCTGCGTATTTTCTAGTTTATAATGCGAAATGTTTGACCTGAGTAATGTTATACTAACTTGGCGTTAGCTATAAAAATTTTACAATAAATTAAACTAAAAAATAAAAACTAAAACATTCTTCTCATTAATCATTATTTTTAAAATAATTGCGTAGTATTAGTGACTTATAATGAATAAACAAATCATAATTCATAAGTACCTACAATCTACATAATATCCTGTAGCAGCTGTGACTGTTACCCTGCGACCTGCAATCACTTACCGCACTTCTCCATGAATGTTTAATAATAAATTAATATTATACTTTATATTAATTTATAGTCATATGCAATCGTGTATTTTAAAATGAAACAACTGTACAAGATTAGTGATACAAAAGATCGTTTTATTTCGATCACTTATTCTATACATCTATTATAATAAAATTGTGAAATTGTTTATTTTTTTATTTCTTGTCTTTCGTACGATAGAAGTAATTAATTTTTTAATACGTCTACAAGTACTGCTTTTAGATAGCAAATGTTATAGTGCTTCAGTGATGTTAATGAGAAGTAATAATTTGAATTCCATGAATTAGACACTACACACAACTCCACACAATACATAGAACAAATGACAAAAATCAAATATCAAAATATCAAAGAATTAAAAAAAATTTTAATCGACTTTAAAGTACCTTTACGAAACATGTTCCAAAATTATAATATCATTCTTGAAATATTTGTTTAAACTATTATATGCGTGTTATATAATTGAATACTAAGATACGGGTTACAAAGTTTAATAAATTATGGAAAATGAATTTAATATCTGAATCAGTGGGAGGGGTACATTTAGTTAATAGGGTTTTAGGTAAAACATTTCGCAAGATTAGTTTTTAAATAACTTCAATGCCACTGCTGCCTAATAATATTGTCATAATAAATTTAAAATGTTTTAAAGAGAACTTTATTGAGTTAACGAACAAAAAAATAATAAAAACTAGGTATGAGGTTGTTAATTTTCTAAATAATGAATTAATTAAATGTTGCATAACAGATAACCCTACATATAGAACATATAATAATATTTAAATAATTTGATTATTATAAATGATCTCAGCAAAACAACGAAAAAATACCTAACTAGTATGTTTTACCATTGTTCATTCAATTTTTATTTTAATAACTCACATTAAACTTAGGTTATTGTTGATCTTGTTTTATATTAAAAATAGTTATTATCATTCCAAATGTTTAACACAGTAAAATGACATAATTTACAAGACATATGAAAATATAATTCTAAGAATATGCCTGTATGGGTCATACCGTGTACCAGAAATGGCCATTATTCAAAATTTTAATTTAATTTTCAACTATAATAATATAATATTGTTATATTAAATATAGGTAATTGATCATCTGCAGAGAAAGTAGGTGCCAAAAAAGAAATGATTATGTTTACTATTATACAGTACTATTATTTACTGAGTATAAATAATCACACAGTAATGGCGATTTGTGTTTTCCTAATAACCCTATTACTGCAATTCCTTTAATAAACTTAAACGTTTATTAAAAACAATACAAACAATACAATCTGTTGAAAAAAAAAAAAAATAATGATAAAAGTAAACAAGTATAAAGTAAAATTTAGTGATACAAATAATATACTTTTAGAAAGAAACCATTCATTAGTTATAATTTATAACGACACTTTACTTTCAGTTTATTAATAATTTTCTAAAACTGGTCACGACTCATGACGCCAATTGTCAATAATTATGCTTTACTGTACAGCAGGAATTGTCTGGGAAACGTGTTGATATGACACGATGTGATGATGACAAGTCCTTACTTCCTCCTGTATACTGCATTAGGGAAAGATCATTATGGAGCATGACGTTGAAGATTCGAGAATAAAATGTGCAGGTTCTGTGTAATATACTAATTTAATACCTTAACATTGTGAATTTTTATTTTTTATTTTTTTTATTTAGTTAAATAATTTAGCTTAATCATAATATGAAACTTTGGAAATCGATTCCTAATAAAGTTTACGAGGATATCATAAGTACATTACATAATATATAATATAGTATATAGTATAAAATATAAATAAATATATATATTATTATATAATTAACAAATGAAATGTTTAAGATCTAAATCGTACTGCGATTTTTTGAAAAAAAATATCTAATAAGATAGATATAATAACTAAGTAGAATTTTTTAATCGAGTATCTACATATGAAAGACAAGTCACCTTAATAGTTTTTATAATATAATTGTATAAAATGATTTTATTTCGGTTGTACACACATACGCCAGTTAACAATCTGTACCAGCAAATAGCGCTTATAACAAGTGCAGTGTTTCGATAATGTGTATGATAAAAAATAAAAAATAAAATAATAATGTGTGAATTAAATACACTTATATTTTAAATAATAATATCAAATAATTCCTACTTCATAAATTTTATCAGGTCGATCGAAACAAGACATTTTTTTGATACCTCTCATCAACTTATTCTTTCTGATTTTATTATTAATATTTTCGCATAAGATATTAAAAATTATTACTCTTATGTGAAATTCTCAATATTATACTTTTAAAACAAAACTATTACTAAAACTTACCTGTTCATCAAAGTCTTAACATATTATATCGCACAACAAACGAGCATGTATTCACTGAAGTTGTCTGTTACGTTTCAGTTACACGTGTGTGCGGACAAAGAGACAATCTCAAAGACCAACATCTTTCCCATGAAAATCTTCCACCTCCTGTTTTTTTTTATATGACAAAATAATAAAATGCCTTTCACTATTAGCCAAGGACAACTCGGAAAATGTATGACATAAAATCAGCAGCGTGCATAACCCGAGAGAAAATTTACAATCCAAATTGTATTATTTAAATTAGTCTTTACAAATTATACCATATAAATTATGATATAAAAGATTATTGCTAATTGAAATCGTTACTGCCGTTCTATAGTAGTATGTCTATTACTCGTATAATTTGCATTGTTGATTTAACTATATACGAGCACAAAATAATTAATTCATATAATTGCAATAATGCTGTGGGTAACATTTTAGTTTGAACATACACTATGTACAGAAATATAAATTTATTTTCGGAGAAACATCAAAGAAGTAGTACAATTCAATAAATACAATGGTTCAATATGGTGTTTAAAATTTAAATTATTCCTTGTTAAGAACTGTTATTACTCGTTGGAATAATAATATTATGTTAATTATTTTCCAAATGATATTATAAGACGCATTATAATACTATTCAATTAGTGATCTGTGGTGAGAATATTTACGTTATGTGCGTTCTTTTGTACTTTGTTATATTTTCTATCAAAACATTTAAAAATTAAAAAATAGCTCCCATTTTATTGTATACGTTTATTGAGTCCGTATGACAACTCAAAGAGCTCAGTAAAAATCCGTCTCGGTATTTGCATTTTGGTTTAATTATGTCGATCATCAGTCAATATTCAATTATTCCCTTATTGTATATAATATAAAAGTTGACGTAAACAATACTCTTGCAAAGTATTGAAAGTTTTGTATTTTTCTTTATCATCATTCATCTACATAATAATATTATTATTTGATTTGCTTAAATGAGCGATAATTAAAATTATTATTATCAAAAAGAATAAAATACTATAACTTACTATGATGAGTTTTAGATTTAAATTTTATTAAAAGCAAACAAATAATTGAGTTTGGAAATTCTGGGTACACTGATACCGTGGGTTTATTTTATGGTATCTTAGGTATAAGTATATGATGATAGTAAATAACATGATACAATAATTTTATTTAAATGTATTTCCTATAATAAAATGATGTTAACACGGCGTTCTGGATAGGCTATTTCGCTACACTACGGTCGTGGGTCTATTTTTACAGCTCTCTTGTAAATCATAATAATATGAAAATCTTGAGTAATTGTCAAAATACAAGAGTGAGAACATCATAAGGGTATCCAGTTATTATAAGTCAAATTGTGAAATAGTGAAAGAAATGTGAAAGAAGTAGGTACATTGAGCAATGATTTTGATAAACAATTTTAAATTAACTTACTTGTATCCTTGAGACAGGTTAAGCGTTTTCTTTTTCTTTTTCAGGTGCGCTCCTTCACTCATCAGATCCTGTTTGAACTTCGGTTTAAGGCATTTTAAATGACTGCCTCGCTATTGATCATATGACAGTCATATTTTTAGACACGAAATTTTACTATAATACTATAAAGAAACAGTAAAAGCAAGGTCGTCTTGTGTGTAAATTTCATTTTTTATATAGTTTAGCTTAAAAAAATATATCGAATGAAAATAATAAATATCAACTATTACATAATTTATTTAAATACATTCATTTTCTTTACTTTTGTATTGTTATACCTACAATTTAACTGTTTTCAATTGTACACACTAACTACATAATACGATGAGATTTCATAGTAATATTATAACCTGCAATAAATAATCAATAAATAAAAAATGTATAATATATAATTGTTAAAAAACAATTGTACAAAAATAAAAATTGGTATTTATAATTTACACTTTGATTGGTTAACATGGAGTGAAAAAAAAAACAAGGAACTCGATGGTTAAACATTTATTAAAATACTAAAGTCAAGTACTTTCTAAATGATTTTGAGCTCAAATTGTATTTAATTAATTTAAGTAAAATGAACTCTCTATATTGGATTCAACACTTATTTATGTAATAAAAAAATAACAACAAAATTGTAGAAAAAAAAAATTAATGTCCGTGTGTTTATAAAATTACCAATACATACACAGTAAATAATCACTATAATCTGTCATCGATTTTTAAAAGCCAATCATAAGAATAATAAGCCATTCTGTATATAATGTAGTAGGTGGTATTTGATTAGAAGTGAACAAACTCATGTTTTACGATGTCGGAAAATCAGCCCATTTGTTCAAATTTAAAGATGGAATGATTCCACTGCGGCATGGTACTCGAGGGTTTCTAAACAAAAAATGTTTATAAGTTAATCAAGAAATTTGTGATTTCTTGGGTATAGTGTATTATCTACATTGGTAAAACAGTTTTCAATATAACATTCGTCGAAAAGCTGATAAACGAATTGTATTATATTAATTTATGTTTAAACAATGTGCAATGAACACCAGCTTAGTTAGAAGTATTTTTTTACAATTATTTTATAATATAAATGTATACACGCATTTCTTACATTTCGTGATCAGGCAGAACAATTGGCCACAACTGAATAGTGTCGATCAAATCGGTATTGTCACATAACACTCGAGCTAATCTGGTTTTTCGGATTTCACGAAGTTGATCTAAATGATATAAATCCGTGTTTTAATGATTATTTTTTAGATTCTTAGTGGACCAACGAAAACATTTGATGTATATACTTTTCTTTTAAAATACCTGGAGTAAACGAAGATGGTTGATTTGGCAGTTCGTACCAAAAACGATCACCTCTTCTGGCATAACTAAATTGAGTAGCTAAAATACAAGAAAATACAGGACCTGCCATGCTTCCGGGTAAAGGTTTTTCGGATACACCACCAGACCATAAATCTACATCTTCTGGAGAGCTGTAAGAAGACATTTAATTTAATAAATTATAACATTAAACTTTTTGGGAATTCTCTCTTACTCGTATATGGTCGAATATCGGTGAATAGTGGAGTTAGGCATGTCTCCTGATAAACTTTGGAATAAGTCCGATGCTGGTAGGCCACAGAATTTTCTAACACAAACATATATTTAAGTACATTAATTCAAAACAATTATTATTCCACAATGGTTAAAAGTTTAAAAAAAACGGAGACGTCTTCTGCTGTATATGATAGTTTTTGAATGTACCTTTCCATTAAGAAAGTCTCCGTATTTGATTTTGAATTTAATAGTAAATCATTGCATATATAAAAGAACCCCTACGCTTAGAACTAAGACTCCATTTCTAAAGATATTTTATAATTTACTTATGGATCTATTAGGCAGTTACATAATAAAGTTGCTAAGTTGAACTAATTTGTGAAAAACCTTAGAATGTACTATGTTAATATTAATACATTATTGTAATTAACTAAAAATTAATAACTAAGAAAGTTGTGAATATATTACCAGCATAAAATTAGCTTAAATATTTTAAAACTCTATTTGTATTTAATAATTATTATTAATTAATACAACCATTTAAGTCAAAATTACTTTGCACAAAATTATAAATGATTATTTTGAATTTATACAAATACAAATTTTTGAGGATTCTTGCGTTATATCATAAAATCAATAGAAAAAAACAGATAATGTCATTTAAAATGTCTTGAAATAGTTAAAAAAAAATCTAAATGTTTGGTAAAACTTTCTATCCCCTCGGAATCTAAAACAATGAATATGGACATATATATTTTCTTTGATAAATATAATTTATAATATTCAATAGCAAAAAATATTTTAAGTAAATGAGTAATAATATAGGAACTACCGCTGGCTTAAAAATTCAATATTTTAATTGAAGAACTTTTAAGTTGTGTAAGTCAAAATTATTTTAAAATAATTAATTAATATAGATTCAATGTCGTCTTCTTACACTAAAGTTATGTGATGACTAACCTGTATTCCATAAACCCAGGTAATCCAAAATCTCTGCCTCTTTGGATATTTAATGATACTAAATCTACTCCAAACCTATTACCCGGTTTCTTCAACAGCATGTTTGTAACTTCTTGTGTTACCGAATCGTCCATAGCCTGAGCAACTTGATTAGTCAAACCCATTATGTACTCGTCGAGAACTCCAGCTCTATACAAATCATATGGTCGGCGGATAAGATCGGACAATTTTTTAGAAGCTAAATGAACATGAATTAAAAATTGTTTAATACATTTATTCGTATTATAATGAACATATTTATTATTTATAAATGAATGTTGATTTGTTCTAATTTACCTATGAATTTGTGAGCTTTGCTCCATCTTTCAATCGAAGTGGGCAAAAATGTGTGACCGATTCTGAGAGCTGCTGCTGAAAACTCGGATAGAATGTTGGGGTTAACATTTGAGTCATAACCATCCCAATAGCCCTAAATAATAATTTACATTAACATTTGTAGTTAATTGTTTAAAAAATGTAGGTGTATTGTTTTATAAATATTAATTATGATAAAAATTAATAATTTAATGAGTTACACTTCATATTAGCTACTGGTAACCAGTAACACACAGTTAATATAAACATACCTAAAACTAAACATCAGAATAATTTAACTAAATGATAAACATTTGAATAAATAACCAATCTAATATTAAAATATTTAACTAATAAGTACTCAGAACCCTTTGATGCTGATCTAAAATGCTGTAATCTATATATAGTGGGTAATTTAACTTTTAAGTTCAATAATACCTACTGTTTTGAACTTTTAAATATTCATACTTTTAGTTTCATATAAAATGTGTTCCAAAGTGATAATGAGTTATTATTTATATAGTTTAAATAAACATTGTATTATTAAGTATTTAATTATTTTACCATTACTCTTATAAAATATTTAAATTACTTCTTTTTGTAAAAGGAGTCCAAATTTTTCCATCACCCCTTTTCCAAGCAATGTTGGCAAAAATTCGTTATAAGTTATGTGCTGAATTTCTGCTATGACGATCCGTCTAGATTCTTGGAAAATAGTTTCGTCATCCCAATGTGGATTGATTTTACCAAGTTCTTTTGCTATTCTATTATGTTCTCTTGCCCATATTATATGCATAGTAGCAAGTACCAGCTGTTCATTTACTCGGACTTCTCCTGAAAGTTAATTTTTTTATATATTATATTTAGTAACAATTGTAAATGTGTCCATTTATAATATGGATTACTCTTTACTTGCAAAACAATTAAATAATAATATACATTAAATAGTGATATAATTTGAAATACCGGCATCAAAACAATATTGCGAACGGTTCACCCTAGTACATCCTTCGTCGGGATCTTTAAGTCTCAAAGGCAACAAATCTTTTAGTCCGTGATCCATAAAAGCTGGGTTCATGCGAAGTAAACCAGCATAACCAGTTCTTAAATGTCTATAAGTAATCAAATACAGTTGAAATATTTGGCAAAAGTAATCAAAGATTTAATATAGTACAATAATGTTACATTGTTACATTAGTTTTTTATAATTTAATAATTGCTAACCTTTTACCTTAAAGTAAAAAATTAAGTGTATCAACATATTTTGTAACTTTTTAAGTACCTGGCATAATCTTCAGTTACGCTGTAAACCGTATTTGCATCAATTACACCTGTCAGCGTGTTGAATGGTACTCTTGAACCTAAAATAATATGACATCATTATAATGTTTTAACAAACAAAATTATGTGATAAAAGTAGTTATTAGTTCAAAGAACTTTCTAAGACACAATAATAATGTATATTATTACATTATTTTTATGTTCCCTATGAATGCATGACTATATTATGTTTTTATACCTTTCTGCAATTAACTTATACAAATGTCATAGGTTATTTTAATTATTTTACAAATAACTATACGTACCTATATATAATATATAAATATATATATATACGATTGAGCATATTATAATAATTAGTAAGTAATAACTAATTATCTATTACCAGGGTTCAAAAGAACTTATAAATATAAGTAGGTATTTTTTTAGGTTCATTTTTTATAAACATAAATAACCTAGGTATCAATAAAATGGTAACGGCGCAACATACTTCCTTACCTAAGCGACATCCTGGTCTTACAGATGGAAAAGCTCTTACAAAATCGATACATTTCACATTGAATTTACTGTAGAAATAATCATCGTCAGGAACAGGAATTTCATTGCAGTAAGGATGTTTTAAATGCGGAGGTCGATTACAGCACTCTTCTGGTTCATTCTTGGAAATTGGATCTAAAAAAAAATAATGTTCTTTTTAAAATGAACCTTCTTTTTGAAATTCCAAAAAGTTAATCATTATATGCGAACACTTTGAGCTTCCTATTCATCAGTATTCAAATCATTAGGTTCACTTAAAGCTACCTTTTTAAAGCCGTTTTATAAGTGGTGGTTATCCAGTATCCACACGATTTTACAATATTTTATAATTTCACGTTTATACTTATTATGCCATTTGATTTATTATTAGATATACTATAATTGTAAAATTATGAATAGGTTGTAATTATTAGTATCATCATTATTAACATATAATCATCATTATTATTTAATTTAAATATATTAGACTATACTTACTATTATTATAATTGATATAACATATAATAATAGTTGTTTAATTTATATTATTAAGCCCATAATGTTAGATTAAATTTAAAAAAGCAAAAACAAAAATTATACCGATAACTTATGACTTAGGTATATAGACTATGGACATCTTGTTTTAAATAATCTGAACATTTAAATAAATTTAACTAATACAACGACCCAATATTTGTAAAGTATCACGATTTTATCATAAGATAATATCCTCTGTGTAAAATATATTTAAGCCTATGACTTACCAGCGGGTGTTCCCATGAGTGTGAAATCGTGATCCATAAATTGACCAAAAGCGACTAACATCACTGTAGCTGCATGTTCGTGGTACCCCTCATCGGGATGCATTGTCCTGGAGACCACTCTGGCTAAAGGTAGTTCTCGGTTGTTGAGGCTGCTGACTTTTGGTCCACTCATGCCGTCAGAAAACAGGGGTCCGACCAGCCTGGAGAACGGCGTATTGCTAGCACCCCACGTCGGATGCTTGACGTTGTTACACAGACCGTCATATCTCCTGTACTTGCCCGGTCTACACTCGACGTTGGACAAAAAAGCTGGACACACCTCTCTGATCAAAGTTCTCGACGTGTCGATCTGAGGCAATCCTTTTTCTACTTCTTCGTACGAAAGTCCATAGCTGTAATATTGAAAGCGTAATGATGACGTTCACATCGGTCCTTTGCAATGCGTGTTTGGGTACACCTTACTTTTTAGTCAACTGTATGGATATGTCCAACAATAGTTCCCCGACGGATGCCAACTCCTGAGCCGTCCACTTCTCTTTATTTGTTTGTGCAACATCTGAAATAATCAAATATTTATTTAAATCGTCCTTCGGAATGATACGATGTAATTATATTGTTAATGTAATTTGTGATTGCATTATTAGAGGTCATGAGATGCAAATATCATTTGTCTATTATTTCATCTCCTTTCTACAAGCAATAGCCAGTATATTTAATATTTTGCAATATTTAAATGGATACAAAAAGTATTCGGATCCTCCAACAACAATGATCCAGTAAAACCGGTTGTGAAAACTGTAAATCCTTTCACCAATACTGATTATCATCTACCTGCAGTGGTGAAGTATTTAACTTTTTTTTTTGCAATTTTATTTCCGTTGAATTTTTCACTTAAAATCGATTAAACCAATTTCTACACAATAGCTGGTAGAGTTAATTTAAAGTGAGTTGCATATGTTTTTAGGAACTTCTAGACAATTATTTTTGTGTACACAATTTATCGCACTAGTATAAATCAATATTATTCTCCGAGTATAGGTATCTAATCATGGGTTTAGACATTGATTATGTTTATACTTACTTATTCTTTTTCTTGCATCTATATATGCTTGGTTGACTGCTTCGTACGTGATACATTGACCTGGTAGACCAAAACCACTTGAATATTAAAAAAATAAATGGATTACAAATCATTAATTTGTATTCGTTTTTATATATTGAATTTATAATGTTCACATTGTATTAACGAAAACTTTAAGAACGCGTTAACATGTTGATATTTTAAATGACTTTTGTAATTTTTATTGTTTTTAATTTTTTTATTGTTGATTTATTTTAATAATTTTTATTTTATAATTGTTAATTAATTATAAATTTGTACTTCAATAAATTACAAATTAAATTAAATTAATATTATTTATATGAACTGGATTTGTGATATTGTGGTTCTGTTATCCTAAATGTTATAACTTGTTAGTTATAATATATAGACTATTCAATAATATATAGGTACTTCGTACTAATACATTTCTTTCTATAAGTATTTATTATATTTATTTTGAAAATTGAAACTCAAAAATATTTATATTATTACAAATTAATAGCAACCAACATTATTTAATGTAATTTATTTATTGTATACATTTCAGTTGTGCATGCAATATTTAATATCTATAAGTATATACTATATATTTACATATAAAGACCATATTCGTTTTTTTTTTGTTTCGCAGTATAAATAATTGTGTTGCAACATTAAATTATGTAACTTAACTCAATATTCTAAGTTTAGGTGAGTTATAGATATGTATTCACATTTATATAGAATCTAGTTTCCTTATATGGAATAAAATAAGCAGAATACATAAGATTATGTAGATTTAACTTGATTAATTATTGGTTAACATATTTTAATATGAAAATAATTTAAAATTATAAATAATATTTATACTTACAGTGGACCACCTCTTAATGTATTGGTATTAAAATCAAAGAAACTAGTCCTTCCCGAACCAGTTAGTTGGAGTGCACATTCGCCATCTACAGATTGAGTTTTTCCGAAAGTGCATATTGTCAGTATTGAACTGACAATTATAAATACTCTAAAACAAATTATTATAAAAATTTGAAAAATTAAAATTGTATTTTTTTGTTGTACAATATAAATTAACTACTTTTATACGCGTACCCAACTTACTAAGATATTATAGGATATTAAATATGCATATTTATAAATTTAAATTTAGAACTTAAATCAATCTTATAAAGCAATATGTAATCTTTATAATGTTTGTGAAAAACTTTTTTTATGTAATTAATACTAATTTGTTTTAATCATTTATACTGTGCAAGTAAGATTGGCTAATAATTTTGAAACGCAAAAATGTCACAATTGTGAATTGCCTAAATATTACATTTTTATAATTTAAAGAATGACCAGCGACCACAACGGTTTATAATTAAAATTAACTCAAGTAGCTACAATTAATGATAAAACAATTTTTATAATACTGGTGTATAAATATAATATATTATATGATATTATATTATATTTATACACCAGAACAGAATAGTTGCACTCCCAACTAATGTAATCCAATTTGTTTTATTTGAACCAGCCATTTTATTTTTCTTTGGTGGCATAAGTTGTATAGCCAAAGTGAACGGAGAAACATTTTTTTTTTTAATCGATATGATTTTTTTTATTGATTTTCTAAAATAATCATCTTGTGATAAAATGTTTACATACGTCACATCTTTGTATTTAATTTATTTATTCAGAATAATCAATACAATAATTATCAATATAATACTATATAAAGACCTACAAAATACGTAGATTTTCAAATTATAAAAATAAAATTTAATAATAATTTAATAATAACTTTTATACAATGCATATTTGGAAAATGACAACCTGCCTTTTTTTATTTCTAGTGTATAAATTAATTAGTTTCCTGCATAAATGATTTATCTTTAATTCACAACATGATTCGAATATGCGGATATTATTATAGCTAACCAAACTGTTGACCAACTCAAGACTTCACAAAAATTGATAAAATAGGCGTTTAAAAAAATATCAAATAGTTTTGTTGGAAATGATTTCTCTGCAATGAAAATTTTAAAAATTAAATTCCGAATTTCATAGATGTTAATTCGTTGACACTCGTCGTCTTTACGGTGCCTTACTAATAGATAATGTTATGTTTATGGCATCAATTAAATAACTATACTTTACACATCTTCCGTTACCAATTAGGTATGTGCGTCGTCATCCAATAGGTTAGGTTAGAATTTTTAGATTTAAATCGTTTAACGGTAGATGTACCTAGTTTGAATAAATGGTTTTAGAGAAAACTCCAAGCTAAAAATTACGTAAATGTTTAGATTAAATTTGTTATCAAGATTTTATACAACCGATTTACGTAGCAAGAATATATTATTAATACGAACAATTATATTGTGTTTTCGGCTCACCCACACTTTCACTAACATCTGAACAATATTAATATTATGCTTGCCATCATGCGGGGATTTATTTAAATATCATGGTCACAATTTCTATAGTATATAATTTCATGTGCATTAAGCACTTAATGATGAGTAGTTTAATAGTAAATAATAAAAACGTTTTACTGTAAACAAATTGAGTGTTGAAATGTTACTAGTTTGAGCGAAAATACAATCCTAATGCAGCGAATGTGGTTGTGTACTGAATATCCATTATATCATTATTTAATAATAATTTCCATAAAAATGATTACATTAAATACTTATTACATAATAGTAAAAAAATAAAATGAAGATAGGATTGGCAAAAAGGTTTCTTAAAATGTAAATAGAAAAATCACGACATAGGTACTATATTTTTCTGATAATTCGTGATAATTTGTTAAACTTATGTTGTAAATTCTTAATAATAAACCTTCACATTTTTTACGTAATTGGTGAAACATTAAAAAAATAATAAAAATAGCTATTGAATAACGATTTTATAATATATTATTATTAGGCTTGAATGATTAAATATTTGAATCAATAGATAAAACGGATTTTAAACTTATTAGTAAGGCTCGGGACTTCTAGGAGTTTGCATGTTTTTAAATAATCATTAAAAACATAGCTAAGTAAAATAGAAATTTGTTTCATAGCATTACAAGTTAATATTTAAAATTTATAGTTGCATATTTTGCATATTTGACCATATTTCATTTATAAGTGCATATTTGACCATTTTTCATTTTATTAGTGCATGTTTGACAACATTATTTATACGAGAAGTGAGTTTTTAGTTTTATAAAAAAATTGTATTTTAAATAGATTTCCTGGACCGGATATAAATATTCAAAAATTAATGTTTGCGTTTTTCTTGCCTATCATTATAACTGTATTGTTATTTATCGGTATAACACACTCGTGATTCCCGATAGGCGATAAGCCGATAATGATACCAAAAAACTATGACTAGTTGTAGATAGAGGCCAAACGATCCCCTGAATAGCAAGAGTTGACAGTTGGTGTCGTGCGTTCTTCGCATTTTGGTTTCGTGAAGTGTTTTTTCTTTCGAGTGAGCCCATAATAAAATAATTAAAAATGCCTAAACCAAAACCTTATGATCGGCTTAACGATTTTGTAAAAGAATATCATTTTTTTTAAATGCATATTTTTAATAGCATATTTATTGATTCTTTAGGGCATAAATGCTTGCATATTTTAAGGTTTTTAAAGGCATGAAGTCCCTAGCCCTACTTATTAGTATAAAAATAATAACACACAATGCCATGCCAAATGTAATTGACCATCAGCAGAGAAAGTAGGCACCCAATAGAAATTATGTTTTTTTATTATCATAGAGTCATATGGTGAAATACTTTATTCTATATCATATTTTCAGATTTATTCTTTTAATAATATACCTTCTTTTAGCTTTCCAAAAATTCGTTTTCACACGAAACCCCATCATATTATGTCAGTTGGCAAATGATTATATCACATTACCTACTTACACAGTTACGCCCAAAACATACCAATTTTTTCGGAATTATAATATATTCTTATTTACAGGTACTTAATATTAACACATTTAATTATTGGATTTTAAATATTAATTCGATACCGACATCTACTCCTGTTGGAAAATGTTTTCATAATATATGTTTTTAATATTAAAAATTGTCACTTTGTTGTTTTAAATGTATTGTATTTCATAGTAAAAATTCTCTTTTAAATAATAGTGTACAAGGCACTCAATAAATATGAGGCTGTAAGATAATTCTCTAAAATGTAGTTAAATTAAAAAATATGCCTAGTCTTTAATAATAATAATATACTGTTTATAATATAAAAAATATACATTTTTTTTTAATTATACTATAAAATATTTTGTTTACCTAACCTACAATTTTTTTTTTTAATAATGAGTGAAAAATACAATTTGATGCATTCATGGTTCTCCGTAAATTATTTATAACGTTAATTATTATTTCATTGACCAAAAAATAATTTTAAATTCATACAAGCACCATGATCGGAAGTATTATTATTATACCTTATCGGCAGAATTGCATCGAGTTATAACCATTAAGATTTTAGGGTTTAATGGAAATAGTCTAATACACGTAGCTATACGGTACGAATACGAATTAAAATATACTTAACGAATATATGTGGAGAATATCGACGTACTTTACATTATATTATACACTTAAATTTAGGTTTTGCAATCATTTTTTATGAATATTTCTAACTATATTTTTACTTCAATTTACACATGAGTAAAAAATCACGTGAGTATACCTAATTGTTTTTTTTTTAAATTAAATTTAAACAACCTAATCAACAAAAAAATTATCTGAAAATCATTTTGTTTCAAAACCGAAGAAGGAATTTACCATGAGTATACCTATACTGTTTTTCATAAAATTGGTAAAAATAAACTTTTAATTTAAAAAATAATCATTATCGCAATTCGCAATCAAATATGAGAACATTTTTCAATACAAATTCATAATTTATTTTTATGAAAGTTAAATTTTAATTTTAAACTGTATGTTTTCCATTACTGTTATTATTGTTAAAACAAATTTAGCACTTGAACTTACCTATCCATCAAAGCGATTTCCTACTGCACTGTGCACGTGTATTTACTATTACGCATAAGAAACATGTGAGTACAATACTAGAAACAGTCTCGATGACCCCTTTTTTCACAAAAATTTCCCCTACCCAATTTACATATATGACTGTAAAAATACAAGATGCCTTTCACTATAGTCAAGGACAACTCGGAAAATGTATGGCGTCACACCGGTAAAGTGCATAATCTAAGTAAAAAATCACGCTCGGAAATCGCATCAGCAAAAGCAGATTGTTTCATATGCACCCATTCCACGTCCTTTTTCAAACCATAGGTACAAATACAAAATACAAATCTATTAATTTCTATCAAGTTAAGCTATTCCGGATCGTTAACTTGGAATATGAATAGACGGTATACTTGATCGCCCATTATAAAATATGGTCTTGAAAAAAAGTCTAACAGCAAATATTATCGTATACAAATTTAAATTTGGAGAAAAGGCATATTATAACGTGATAAATCACACATACTATACGACTGCTGCGAGCTGTATCTACCTATTAATAATTAATACCTATCATTTAAAAATATTTTCTTGCTATTTCTATTCTCTTTTCAAATATTGAAAAAAGTATACCTATATATATTTAATTATATTTTCAAAAATAAAAATAGGTGCATTGTTCATATGGATGCATATAGTGTATAGAATATTACTATTCAATTAGTAGTCAGCGGAGAAAGTAAATGGTTTTTTTTCTTCTTCGAGTTATCCAGTTATATAGCGAATAACGTTATTATACTATTATACAATACACTCTGCTAAAATCTCTGAAACCATATTAAGCAGCGATATAAATATATTATTTATGACTAAAAATAAAAGATGCCTTTCACCGTATGTATTGTAACCGAAGACGATATTCGGAAAATATATGATTTCGCGCATCATCGGAAGACGGTATGTATAAGTAGGTACAGCTGTATAGGTAATATTATTATTCCTGATAAAAAGTCTTCGAAGAAAGTGGTGTGTAATACGTGGCAAGTGATGTGACCGGCATTTAAAATTATATATTTTATTATAATATCTCATACTCGGTCAAAAAGTCACTGTGATATTTGACGGGAATTATTGTAAACGATTTTGTCCACAAAACATAACAATATGCAACAATTAACTATGGCAATAAGATTATAACTTATAAGAATAGTAAGTATTTACTTATTAAACATTATGCGTTTAAAAATAATAAATAAATAGGTAACATTTTACATCAGTGTATATTATTATTTAAAACTAAGTGGTTAATAAACTATTATTTTCGTGTACAATTATTTGCATAGTTTATTATTGATTATAATATTAACTTCATCAACAATAATAAATACAAACCAAACCATCCCAAATTGATCATTGTTAATTTTAAAATTTTCACATGACGGATTTTAATAATTTCATATAAAAACTCATAACTAATTATTAAAGAATTTTTTTAATGGTTTAATTTGAATATTATCCTTTATTTTTATCTTAAAACTATTTCAACTTTCCCCGTATATTACATAATAATATAATATTGTCACAGTTAAGTACATCGTGCACCACGCGTTTTTCTATTGTTTCAAAAATGTATCAATTAAAATATTAGGTAACAGTGCTCACTAAATTTTCATGAAAAATAAATGCATCTACTCATGTTCTGAATACAAAATATGCTTTGAATTTCCCCTTAATATATATTGGTGCAACTCTAAATATGAAAATATAAAAGTGTTGCAAAAACTATGACGTATAACTAGACTTTTTTGAGTTCACAACAGCCAAAAAAACATTATATACTCGTGTGTTAAAATGCTGATGCATTAAATAAAATGATTTAATAGACTTAAAGTTAGAAGATAATGATAATGCGCCATATTTTTCGTCGGAAAATTACGAGGCAATGGACAAAACCAGTAAATATACAGTATGTAGGTATGTATAAGGTAATATAATTACTAGGGTAGAGGACTTGTAGCTCTAAAAAAATCACCAAAAATGCACTAAAATGTACTCGATATGCATTCAAAATATGCATTTTAAGATAAGATTATTTGTAAAAATATATTTTTATTGAAATTTTGATGTCTGTGACCGACGTAATCGTGGTACGCATTTATAATATCTTATCAACAATATCGTCAATATCTGTATATAAATAAAATTAATAACCGGAAAATAAATCTAATCGGCAGTACTCGAGACGTGTCTCTAGGAAAAACATTCGTGTGGGAAGAGTAAACAATTATATAAACAACATTTAAAATAATTTTAAATTCAACATTATTTTGTCTGTATATTAAATATTTAAATTAAATAAAAACGTCGATGGTAAAAACATTGATAAATGATAAATGATTGAAAATATGCATCAAACGTATAGAATCGAAGAAATATACACTAAAACCAAAAAACCCGGAAATATGTATTTATATGCAAAATAAAATTTCAAAACTAGCCTTGTTTCAGCGTGAAACGTATTTGTTTCTTACTCTACTATTTTTGTGATAGTGCAAAACAAATATGCAGATGCTAAAAGTCCTCTGCCCTAATAATTGCATATAGCAACGAATTCTTCACCATTATTATATTAGATAATCAAATATAATAATGCACCTATATTGCATTCCGGCATTCGAATCTCAATACATAAGGTTTTTTTGTTTATAGTGTTCATTGTTTAAGTTCACTTACAAATTTAACAGAACCTTTCTAAAAAATTAAAAATCAGTTTTAAAAACCATAGCACTCTATATTTTTCCTCCATAAGAAAAATCTATGAATCATAAATATATTTTTGCTAATAAGTAACCATGACAATAAAAAGTAAAAACCATACGAAAAATCGGTCAAAAATAAAAATCTTGTATCCAGCCCAAAAACAAAAATTAGCTCATACTATTTTACTAATCGCAAAACATTATTTATATTATTTCAATAACGTATTGAATCATTATCCTATTTACGTCTACAAATTATAAAATAAATAATAATATACCTATTTGTGTTCCTCTGTAATAAACCTATTATTTACACGTAAATATAATAAAATTAATTGATATTTGTATTGTTACCTATTTGTAAACTATACGGTTCCAAATCATTCAATTAAAAATGTATCAGTTTGTCATTTAAAAGTTAAAAGTTGAGATTACCGTTTGCCGGTGTTAAAAGACGTAGGTAGGTAGGAGTATTAAATACATACCATAATAAAAATAATAATTTTATCTTTTGTGTTTATAACCATAATAAAAATATGTTTTAAAATCAAAATAGTTTAAATTTTTGACTGGTTATGAGGTTTAAATATTATAAACCATATACTACTAGACAAGAACTGTGTTTATCAGTATAACAATAATTATTAACAACTTACAAGACCGAGAGTGGCGTAATAACTAAAAACATCTAGCAGTGATGTAGACTGCATTGACGAAAAAATACAGTGATGTGCCTGTCTCGACGAAAAAATATAATAATATATGTAATATCTATTATAATATATACATTATCTATATAATATCTTATAAGTTACATTTTTACACTTCAACCACGCACTACCATGATACACATTACATCATAGTCATCATACATATTGAGGCGTATTCACAGCTACACCGTGTGTCGAGCCGACGTGTCGTGTTGATCAAATCGCATTGTGATTGGACATTTATTTTTTGGTATCATGTTATAAGTTATAACCAAGTTGCAACCGAGTATACCTATCAAGAATTGACTACCTACAACTCAACTTTTAAACTATAATGGTTACCAGTTATAACTTATAACTGTATCTGTATAGTTACCACGCCCTAGCTTAAGTCCTAAGGCTTAAGACACCTTAGCTGTGAATCCGACTTAAACAAATAAGCAAAAAGCTCCATCTCGGTTTTTATGCTTTCCATACACTCTTTGCTTTTCTAGTGGTACAAGGTACATGGATTCAAACATATTATACTAATTACTGACCTACCAGATATCCAGATACCGAGGTTATCAAATTTAATTACAATAAATATGAAATAGCTGAAGAGAAAACTATGAGTATTTTAATTAAGGTACAATACCACGACCTACATCGGGCAATCCTATGCGTATAATATAGTCTGGACAATGTATATAATTTTGTCCGGTGTTTGTCAATTGCGCCGATTTTTCTAGACTACCTGAAATTTATACATCTTTTGCGCCGGTGGATTTATCCCAAACGAAAATGGTATACGTCTTTTGCGCCAATAAATTTATCACAAATTAATTTGGTATGCATAATATATATTTGTTGTGCCAAGAACATATTATAAAATATAAAATATCATATTATTATACTATTATTAGATTATAATATAATTATCAAACATATAAAAAAAGTGTAATTTAAAAAATATAAAAAATTAAAAAAATTAAAATACATATAAATAAACGATGATAAATTACATATGAATAAATTGTCAAAAAGTATTAAAATTTCATTTCTTGTAATGGTGACTTACCGACTTCACAAATTGAAACATATTGATAGTACCGTCATATTATCATGTTATCTCATTTATATTAGCGGATATTCCGATTTGACCAATTTATTGCATGTAGATAGATAACGTATAGTATGTACAGTTTATAACGTCGCGATTTTAAATCGTCCGTGTGTAGTATAAACGCAGACGAGTACTTTCAAATCGCCTAGTGTGTAATCAGCTTATTTTTCAACTTCCGTATTGCCGGCGCAATTAATGTATAATCTTTTTTGGACCTAAATATCGTCCGGCGCAGTTGATGTATAACCTTTTTGAATCCCATAATTTTTTTTTCCTTACCTGTGATTTCTGGCGCAATTGACATATACCCATTTTGTCATATTGTCCATAAAAATCGGTCAATACAATAATGTCCGGGCAATGTACACATTATACATATAAAACATACGTTTAGAGTATAATAGGTTTAATAATATAAGCATGTGGGTACGAATTGTGTCCGGAGAGAGACCCCGGATACATTTTGCCAGTTGCCTCCCAAAATAATATACTAAGTCTGAGTACATCTATATTATCCATATGATTATAATATATCATGTACGCCTACATATAAGTCATAATATTATTAGGTATGAAGGATTTATTAATGATTTATATATGCGTTGATAAAAATTTATATTTTATTTTGCAGTGTCATTTTACAAATTTGGTAAGTTATGTCTACGAGTCACCGACGTACGATAATTATTAATGTTCTATTTTTTCTATATTTTAAGTATAATTCACACACCGTTATGCATATCTTAACTGTATAGACACGAAAATACAAGTTTCGTGGTATACACTTATACGAAAGTAGTGTACATGCAAGAAGCCACGCTGATGAATGATGATATTTCAATATTCCACAATATCAATCATGCGAATACGCCAAACTTTGACGAAAACAAATTAAAACAAATTAAAAATACTTTACGGATGTATTTGCTGTGGTCAGTGATTAACGAAATTGTTTTAACTCTGCACATAAAAAGTAACAACGGTTTTCTCACTCAATCTATTTTAAAACCAGAAAATGCTTCACTTTCACTTATAGTGATCACATAGTTTTACAATAATACATAATTCATTGTATATTTTATCGTATAATTTTTATTGTATTTTTTAGCATTGGTAATATATATTATTAATTCAATAAAATTAAACGCATATTTTACTATTTTATGTTGCGTAAATCTTAGCCCTATAATAGGCAGTCACAATATTATTATCGTTGATATGACATTACCTATTATAATATAATAAATATTTTCTTTTACGAACTGATTTCGGTATAGTTAATCCCACGTATTATTCACAGTCCACAGATGATATAGAATTAAAAATATATATTGGAAAAATTTTGTATAATTAAAAAATAAAATATAATACTCGTATAACAACAGCAGCATTCATAAAAGTTATAAATAAAATTAAAATTAAGGTAAGATTTAGAACAATATACGTTATATTATATAGTTTGTAGTCAAATTTAAATCTAAATATCCAAGGTCTCAATTCACTCAATGGCTTACTTTGTGATTTCATTAAAGCCGCATTGATCCTTTTATTTGGAAATCCATCAGTAATCTACACAAATAAAGGGATTTACGGGACAATGTTTGAGAGGGAGTAAGACCCTAATCACCCCCCAGAACTAGGGCACGCAACTGAATACATTATGCCTCATATGGTTTAGCTAAAATTTATAGCATATGGATAACATTCCTGGCTGTCCTTTAATGTCTACGTCTTGTACACCCACATCATATTATTCTCATATCTACCGTGTCCTGTTTTTATTTGGTTAAGGTAAATTTATTAAATTAAAATATAAGGTTAAATTTGTTTTTTTTAAAGATTATTTCTAATCTTTCTAATTATGTTTGCTTTTTGCATATCCGTGCTTAGTTATGATTTATGATTTCCACTGATAAAAACCTAGACATTTTATTAAATTTCTGGTTGTTTTTTGTTCAAAATAACTTAAAACTAAAAATATTTGTTCTCCTTTGCATCATTATTTCGTGATAATAAACATAGGAACTCTTATTTGCGCGCTTATCTACTGATAAATCAGTAAAAAGTTAAAAGTAAAAGTTCTAATCAGCCAAAACAAACAATTTTTTTCTATTTTCAGATTTAACTAGTTTTTTTTTAAATTTTAAATAAACAAGAAATAAAATAAAATATTTATTTTATATATTTATATTTATTTAGTTTTAACAGTTACATTGACAAACGAATACATGTTATGTATATTATTAAATTATCGTAGTTTTAGTGTACGAGAATTAGGTATGCTACTACCTCGAACGTCCTCAACGAAAAACTCAAAGAGTCGCAGAATAACAATCATAACGATGAAGGGAGTTGACAAAAACATTGGACTCGACGAACGTCGATTTTGAAAAATGGAGTCGGATGTATTTTCCGTGTATGGCGGAGTGGAGACTGTTTTGCCGGTGCCAAAAGAAATCCCACTAAAAACGTTGGTCCGTTTCGAAGTGGTAAAAAAAATACGATTGGAAGAGCTTAGTGAAAGGTGCAAGCAGAATTCGTTTCCGTCTGCAGAGTATATTGCAGACATGAAAAATATTTTTAAAGTTCGACCATCACGTCTGTGTTACCAAGCTTGCGGGGAGGAGGTCGAACTTTTCTAAAATTATTCCACGTCCACAGAACTCTGGCAGAAACAAATTCTGCGAGCTACGTTTACCAGGCATTTCCACACGCATCTTCTGGATCTCTTCCAAGCTGAACCACGTGTAGGCTTGGGTGGGATTTCCGATGACACGTGTGGAACAGGATTCTTTTCGCCGTACACAATTGAAAGAACTGTTAACTCCGGCGACGACTGAGATTTCCCTGCGAGTTTTTTTGGCAGCGGTGGCCTGCAGACGTCTTGGACAGCCAAGTCCAGTGCGGCGATTAACAAGGACCGATGAGATAGTCCCACGAATTTGATCGAGTCTGTTCGTGTAGGCTTGGGTGGGATTTCCGACGACACGTGTGGAACAGGATTCTTTTCGCCGTACACAATTGAAAGAACTGTTAACTCCGGCGACGACTGAGATTTCCCTGCGAGTTTTTTTGGCAGCGGTGGCCTGCAGACGTCTTGGACAGCCAAGTCCAGTGCGGCGATTAACAAGGACCGATGAGATAGTCCCACGAATTTGATCGAGTCTGTTTGGGTGGCGTCCATATCTGAAGTTTTCTTTGAATGCTTAGATTCGCGTCAGACAAGCGCTCAACATATAATGACAAATTTCAAAAACAGTTTGTTAGTCTAATAGTTATAAATACTAGGTAATAGTATTGTTTTTTTTTCTGGTTTTTATTGTGGCTAGTATAGTTAGATTGTAGCCAGCTACTTAGTGGAAAATATTTACAATTGAATCATTATTTACCAGTTATTTTGATGAATAAGACCAACTAATGTTCTTAAATTGATACCTATATTATTATCAGAATAATATCACATTGTGGCATGATTTAGATTATACGAGCCAAGATTTCAAATCTGCAAACATTTTTACACAATTATAATGATTATTTCTAGTTTAGAAGCATATTTTATATGTGCAAGATATTTGAATACGATATTGCTCATTTTAAGTAAGCGCCTATCAAGTCATTATGTCTACTTATCCATCGAAAGACCCGTTACCTCATCTACGCCTACCAACTCACACAAAACACATTGCACAAAAAAAACGAAATATTTTCCATTAGTTCTGGATAATTTTTTGAAAAAACACATGATGTGTGTATAATATATATAGCCATATAGGGATAACTAATTTTGTTATTCACGTATTCAAATCAGTAGATGGTATACCGTTTGTTGAAAAGAAAAAAAGAATCTGATTGAACATTATTAACGGGTTTTAGGCAAATCGTCTGAACGAAAATAATGCTCATTTTTTTTTTTAGTGATCGTACATATTAACTAGCAACGTTGATATCGTTGAATGAATAGATGTTCAAAAAACTATTATATTATAGTATAATAGTATTTGTTATGCCGATGCCCGGTATATATACGATAGGTATAACAATATACTTACACAGTTACGTAGGTGTTTCGTGTTAAGCTAATCTAATATTTAAATTACAGCTACTATGATTGCATAGGATAACTTAAGAATCAAAATAGTAATACTTTCTTAATCTAGATATTTTATTTTTCAATAAATTGTTTCACTGAAGAATAAAGATTCATATTATATGTTCTTTATCCTATATACTTATAGTGTGTCTTATGATATAGATTGTGTATTTTGACATAAAATAAAAAAATAAAAAAAAAATATTATAAAAGCACATTGAACCTGGTTCGAACAACTACTCTGCACTCATCACTATCGTGGACGACCATAAAGGTGGATTCACACCTCGTCGTGTCATGTAGAATTGAATATATTCAACTTGTTAGTAACGTGTGACCAACATTTTGTTACCTATTTATTAAATATACTGAACATTACACGACAAGACTAGGTATGAATCCACTTTAAAGGTGGGTTCACACTGCACTGTGTCGTGTCGTGTCGTGAACTTTTTCCATTTTTCAAAATATGATACCACTCTATACCATAAATGAGTTCTTCATTCAATTGATATCAAAATAATATTTGAATTCATGTATTATCACTATTAAATCAGTAACCACACTTTCAAAAGTTGGATGAAATCAACTATTCGTGGTATATGTGGGAACATCGTGATATTCGTAGTAGAATCCGTAAAATTGGTGGTAGAAACCAGATTTAACCACGTGGTTGGACCAATCTGAGCACGGCAACATTTCACGACACGACACGGTGCAGTGTGAACCCACCTTAAGAGGGTATTGACCCACCGGCTCCCAAATACCAGGTATATCGGCTAAACCGCTAAACGGATGCCAGGCTAATATTGCAATATGCTAAATGCTTACTACATTATTATCAGAGGCTTGTAAATTAATGTAAATCATTAACTTAAGTTAAATTAAGCGAACACGTGATCGTTAAGCCAGATTGTAATAGTTATTAATTGACATTACGTGTAACTCACTAAGCTTAAGCCATACGGGGAAAAATATTAACTCCATTAGATTTGAAAAAAGTTAATCTACTTAATTAGTTCATGGATCACATAAAAAATATTTTGTACTATATGATATTGTACATTATAAAGTATTATTTTGTAAAGAAATATTACAGATATTATAGTATTAGATTATTTTTATTCAAGCCCGTGTAGGTACACAGTAAATATTATTAATGTATAAAACTATAAGACCATTAAAACTAAAAATGTCAAATACATTTTTAATTTTAATTTGGTATTATTTTTAAATCAATTTCTAATTTCTGAGACACTGAGTCATTTCAGCAACCAATTAAACTAGTTACGTTCTTAAGTTGATTAGAATATTAAGTAACTAGTTAGATTAAAATTTAAAAACCAAGTTGATTAGTTGATTAGGTACCTATTAATAAGTGGCCAATAATCATAAACGGGCGTATGGAAAAATGCAATTTCTTTCCAATGATAACATTCTCGATGCCCAGATACCTAAACCACACGCTGGATTAGTATAATATATTAAAATATAAATATGACTTAAACGTCTTATACCTACATTATTGTTTTTCTTTTTTATGGTTAGCACTTAGCACTTGCCACTTGGCGTATCTATGGCGTAATGACGTTATGGTATATTGGCATATTGCGATACGTGAACAATAAGTTATAATATTTTGGCCTAAATTGCCTACCTAACGCGCCGTGATAAATTTAACTGCCTACTGATGAAAGCAATTTATTATAATTAATAGTTGTTCTTTTCAATTTGAATAATTTTTCCGATGTTTCTTCGTTGAGTACGCCTACTAAATAATGCTTAATATAAATTAAATAGATTTACTTGCAAATAACAATTATTTAATATATACGTGATGGAGTCATCTTACATATCTAATACATTTGGTTCTCTCTTTACTACGCAGCGCAGTGTGCACAATAAAATATTGTATTTAGTAGACGATATTTATTGGTGTAATAATGTTTAAGGATGAAAGAGTGCAAAATAAAAAAACACCACCACTTCAGTAGTATCTGATTCAATTACATATATACGCTTGGATGTTATATTTGATATTGATGAAATCAGACATCAAAATATGTTTCGACAAATGGTACCAAACCACTGGACCACTGGTACATTTTTATAAAGTATTACACGTGAAATAAATTGCAAGAAAATTGCGTAATTGCAATCGATTTAAAAACACATTGAGAATTCTTGACATTAATTTGAGAGCCGGAAATTCGTAATCACCTATATTTGTCATAAATTTAGTTCTTATAAATTAATGCGTTGTACTTAATATCTGTAGGTAAGTACCTACTACGGGAAGGACGACGATCACCGTATCGTCGGAAGGACCAGCACGAGACTTTAGAGCAACAGACTCCGGTCGGCTCTACAACTACCAGAAGGAGATAACCAGGGTGACGGACTCCAGTCGGCCCAAGAAACCACCAGAAGACATCCGGCAACGTAACATACAACTGTGAGAGAGCAAGTCGTAGGATTATCGTCCCGTCTGCTTCCACGTGGAGAAAGCCTTCATTTATAATGTAAGTAATTGTAATTGATGTCACGGCAGTAATGCGAAAGCAAATTCTCGACCGGTTCAAAAAATGAAAAAAAAATCAGATAGGTCCCTACTACTTAACGTCGCATTTTATAAAAGGAGCCTAAATTATATCATAGTTTTTACATCGCTATTGCAGTTACTGGTGTCTTAAAGTGTATAGAAAAACTCATAATAGGTACAGTACAATAATAATTAAATTCAAATATGAAAGAGATAATAATATATTTTTTCAGATGTCATTATAATATGATAGTATGACACTATTAAATAAAATATCTTTTTAGGTAAATCAAAAATTAATTAAAAAGTATTACCTATAAAAAAAATAATTTTATTAAAATTGATTTAACTTTACATCATAAAATATAAAGCGCCCTTGAAGTTGGTTGACTCTATTTTAAATAATATAACATGTTACTAAATTAAGTATATTTCAATATGTTCTGTTCAAAAATAACATAGCATGGATCATGGAACTATTGAAGTTATAAAATAGGAATTGTAGGTTTTTTATTATCCACAATATTTTTAATGTAATATCAGTATAATTATATTGTAAATAACCTCTTATTACTAAATATGCAAAAAACCACAAACGACAAACATTTTTTAATAAAAAAAATCAAAATAGATAATGATAAAAAAATAATAGTTTTGAATTATGCAGTACCAATGGAGAACAATGTTTAGATATTACTATTAAATAATTATTAATTTCTAAGTAAAAATAACCTTTATTTCTTTATAACCTTAAGACCAATAAACAATAAATATATTATACATTCAAACTTCCATGTAACGGTCACCAAAGGGACTGGAAATAATGACCAATATTTAGATTTAGAGATGGCCTTCCTAAAGAAGTCTTACAAGGTCACTTGACAGGACCCAAAAAAATTACTGTTACATAGGGGTAACCATGTTTTAGAGGTGACTACTAACAGAAATTTTACTGTATATTTATGTATAATTTATTATATTATGTGTATGTCTAAATTAACAAAAATAATTTTCATATTAATATTGCTGTATTATTTATTTTGTTATTAATAAATAAATAAAAACAAACACAAGAAGATTAGTAAAAAAAAATGGACAAACATAAAACAGCAAGAAAAAATGTATAAAATAAATATAAATTAAAAAACATATTGAACCATTTCTTCACATATTAGTGAGTAAATTATCAAACAATACATCTCTAGTCTTTTTTCTAGGATTATCTTTCAACTTTGTTTTCACAGCACCAGTTTGACCCAACATCCACTCAAATTCTGAAATTCATAAAATGCATTTCAATAAAAAAATATTGTATTACCTAGGCAAAACTAAGAAAATTACTAAATTAACGAGAAAATTACACATGTACATTGTACATTACTTAAACTTTAGAAAATAAGTAGAAAATTATCATTAACAGGTTAGTCCCAACAACAGGAATGAAACAATTGGTGGTTTTCCCCATACTCAGTCCTATTATAGCAATTTTTGAAAAAATAAATTGTCAAATGCAATCTGGATTCTTGAATCTAAACCAATGTTATATTAATGTATTTATCATTTTGTTTACACTAGCATACATCTTTATAATAGTTACAATGTAGGTGGTGAGGGGGGGAATTAATAGCTCAGCCCCCCCCCAAATCCTGAATAAGTATTAATAATATTTAACACATTATTCACAAACAAATATGAATAAATACTAAGTATTATATAATTTAATGACAATATATATTTTTAACTATTGAATGGTCAATAAATGATGTCATTCAATGAGTCATTTGAATATTAGACAAATGTATTTTAATACAGATAGATATTGTTTGCCTAAGTGTATTACACAGGTACTGCATACCAGTCAGCCCCCCAAATTTTTTTTCCATAGCCTCTATATTCTGACACTTGTATAGGCTTAGATCTATAATTCTTAAGTGTAAATGCCTATGGTTATTTGTTTCTCTATTTTTCTCTGAATGTAAAATATAAAATATTATAAAATATTTTGACTATGCATATTTAAGTATAGGTATACAATATTAATCATGTGTTTTCATTCTGCATGACGCTGTTTTAAAACCACTGATGAATATTCAAAAACGTCATTACTATTAAAAGTATAACACCTACCATCTTGAGTAGTTGTCAATGAAAATATTCTTGGTCCAGCAAATTGTTGTTTTAGGTCACCTTCATAATATATGAAAATAGTCGGCAGATTACTATCTGGATAATTTGGGATGCAAGTCGTTGAAATGCTTTTAACAAATTTTGTAGCAGGAAATTTTCTTGCTAAATGATTTAAATATTCAGCCAGCAATGCACAAATTGGAATGCTGTAAAAAAGAAAATAGTAAAAAAAAAATTAATAAAAAATAAAAAATATTTAAATAAATAGCATTACCCTTGTTTATGTAACAGTAAAACCACCCATATTCCAGATCCAGCTTTATTGATTTGACTCACAAAATCTTGACCACTTATTTCTATCACTTCGCCAAAAACATCTTTCCGTGCTTTTTCTTTTAATTCTGCTATTCTTCGTCTACGATAATCTTCTAGCACTCGTTCATCTTCATCATCTTCTAATTCATCCAATTCATCCAATGACATATCAACCATATCTTTTTTTTCTCCTGCATACAGAAAAAAATGCAGATCATCATAAATATGTATTATAATAAAATTCATAATTCAAGTGATTTGAAATATTAGCTTATGATAATATAAAAAGGCCACGAGTTTCTACTTTTTACCACATCAGATCGCATTGGCCCACATACAATTAATATATATACATCTCAATGTTAAAGCTATAGGTAATACATAACATTATAAAGTTACAAGATTGATTTTAAGGTCAACATTTGCCAAATTTAAATACACATAAATATAAACAACAAATTTAATTCTCTGACAGCATAAGATTTTGAAAAGTGGGTTCACTGACAATTGTTTATTATTTTATTATCATAGAATTAAAATAACTTGAAATCATAAATTATTAAAAATCTAATACATAATCTAAAAAATCTAATTATTGGAAATACAATTTAAGGAATTCATTTCAAGTTTACCATTTTGTTTTTCACGGACTGTCTGCTCCACAAGATTAATGACATCTTCTTCCGTTATTTCTTTTTCTTTTTTGGGTGGAAGTATTCCTTTAGAACGCAATATATCGTTCCATTCAGTATCTTCATTGGGGTTCTGAAATCAGAAATAGGTGGGTAGCATCAATTGTTAGAAAAACATTAGTTTTCTGAAAAAAAAGAAATATATAATGTACTATTTACCTGCATTTTTGATTTTAAGTTCGGTACGCTACGATAATTTCAAGTAAATTACTACGCTACCGCTACTTATTCCATAAATGGGGTGAAAGATTTAAGGATTATCTTAACTACACAAATACTATTTACTATTTACTATTTAGGTATGGGAAATGAGAATAATAGTATCAAATATAGATGTTTGAGGTTATAATGTTAATTTTTCTGGATATCAAATATCTTGTGATAATTACATAGACTTATCAATCTGTAGATAACCGAGATTTAAATTGTTGATTAGAATTATTTTAAAAATAATTTCTTTACTCTCAAAGTCTTCATGTAAACTGTAAAGTAAATCTAAATAAATCTAAATTCCTAAATATTCGGCCATGTGCATCATGCAATGTGCCTTGTTGTCATTATTTTTATTAGAGTTATAAAACATTTCATTTCATTTTAAATAACATTAAATATTATAATTATTTAATAATAAATTTTAGAAAACCGCAAGCCATAAAATGATCTTACAGACCTTATGCACTCGTCAATCAAATCTAAAAAAAATCATCGACCGTCGGCTTTTTAGCTATTATATGAAAAGACCAGATCCATGTTCATCACTTTATAGTAAAAATAGCACTTATACTCTACGTCCATCAAACAGAAGTGTCACATCAGACTCCTCGGTTACGCTTCCTTCGTGGTTTATGACAATGTCAAACAGTACACCGGTAGCTTATGCACAACAATTTATAATTTCATTTCATGAATTTACTGGTACTCCTTGGTGGGCTACAATAATGCTTAGTGCTGTAGCTCTGAGATTAGTCATTACTCTACCACTGACAATATTTCAAGTAGGTAAAATCCTATTAATGAAATCTTATTCCTAAAAACTTAAGAGATGTATTTACACAAGAAGTTGAACGTTATGTTGTTTTTTAATGCAGATTGTACCTATGAAAAGTGTTGAAAAATCATGGACCTTATACTAGTAGACGGAGTAAGTTTGGCCGGCGAGGTTGGGTGTAAGACCCAGATGGCAATTTGTGTTAAATATTATATACAGCTTATTACTGTCACACGTAAATACCGGAACTACAACCATGTACCGTCTATTAGTATAAGGTCTATGTGAGAAACAAAATATTTGAATTTAAGTGATAATACATTTTTATGGCTACATTTATTTGTCATTAATATCTTACTATTAGTATCAATAATACCAGCTTTTTATTTTTTAATTTAGCATTATAATAATTCAAAAGTGGAAAATCTTTCTATTGAATTTCAATCAACAGTAGTAGAAATACAAAAAGAAGTAGTGAAGGCAGTTAAATTGAATAGATGGCCTGAAAATAAAGCTAAACGTGTTTATAACAAAGCTGTAAGTATATACATAATTTTCCTATAATTTTTTTTTAAGAACTAAGCTGTTGGTTTTTATTAGAATACAATTTATAATTTTCTAAATAATGTATTTGTCTACATTTTTACTATTATTTATTGTAGGTAAAAAAGTATTGGAATGAAATGATAGTAAAAGAAAACTGTCATCCTGCAAAATCAACAATCGTTGTTTGGGTGCAATTACCTTTGTGGATTTGTATGTCGATAGCAACTCGTAATCTCACATTAATGTTACCTCCAAGTGATGATGGTAATATTTATTAATATAATACTCTGCCATTGTTCATATTTTGTTTTATAAGGTATATACTTTCAAAAGCTGTTATTAGGTTTTACGAACTAACTGAAGGTGGAATTTTGTGGTTTTCAAACTTAACTGCCATTGACTCAACTATGTGTTTACCTTTAATTATGTGTCTATCAAATCTTTTAATTATTGAGGTGATTTAATTTAAATAAATAAATTAGTTAGTTAGTACTGTTTGTTTGTTTATATTTATAAAAAATGTATTAGTATAGCTATATAAATCTAATTTAATATTTGTAGGTTCAAACTCAATCACGAAACAAAGAACCAACGCGTAATCAAAAAATCATAGCAAATATCTTTCGAGGTCTTACTATTATCATGATGCCGCTTTCATGTTTCCTACCATCAGTATGTATAATTTGTATTAAAAAGGAATCAATCTAAACTAATGAATATTTTTTATTTTTTTAGGGTGTGACCTTATATTGGACGGCATCAAGTATTTATGGTCTATCTCAAAACTTATTCTTATTGTCTCCACAAGTACGTAAATGTTGTGGAATACCGAAAACGCCTTACAATAATGAACATCCATACAAATATATATTGCATAAGACTAAATCTAAGTTAAGAATTTCTTGATTGCTGTTATTGTAATTATTTTCTGGAAATAAAGTTATTATTTTTTAGTAAGTACCTATTATTGTTTTGATGTAAATAAATATTTTCCATTGTTTGTGAATTGTGGATCAAGAAAGGGTTATCTAACCGGATACATTAGCAAGGTTTCACTTGTGTTTTATACAGATAAGCCTAGAGAATAGCCTTGTTTTTCTGTAAATGTTTTTTCAACCTTTGATCTCTTGGACTTTAGATAACTATCAAAAAATCCAAGTAAAATGATAGTATTTTCAGTTTAAATGTGCGCATCAACATGAAAGGTTGCACCATTTTTGTAATTCTACTTTTTTTGCATAATGAAGCATTGTGTGTAAGTATTTTAGGTTTAAAATTTGTAGTTAAAATGTACTAATCAATTTTTGTAAAACAAATCATCAGATTATTCGTTACACGGATGCAGTTACTAGACCATCACTAACTGAGGAGAATTTGAATTGGAATGCATTTAATGGAAATACTAACACTGGAGTAAAAAATGGCGGGCTCAGAGAAAATAATGGACCTGAAATCAAACCTATTGCTTCATCAATTTATAAACAACAGACAAAGAGTCCCCAAGATATAAACAATGAGGTAAGAATTTTATTATAATTATATTTTCATGTAACAAAGTAGACTTTTTTTATTACATTTTTTATTATAGAATAATGCAGTTATATCGGATGGAAAGAATTGTCCTACTAAAACAACTGGCTTATTCCCTATTCAATCAGATTGTCAAAAATTTTTAAATTGTTTTAAAGGACGTGGGTATGTCCAGTCATGTGGACCGGGCACTTTATTCAATCCCAATAGTTTGGAATGTGATTTTCCCGCTAAAGTACAATGCTTAGATGGAAATCCATCAAAAATTGATTCATCGTTCATAAATAGAAATCCTAGTCAGAATTTTGATTTGAACGCTGAGACTTCTAATCAAGATCGTGTATTTATTAGCAACACAAATGAGTACCAACCTCAATCTACTAATCAATACCAGCCTCAACCAACTAATCAATTTCAGCCTCAATCAATCAATCAATATCAGCCTCAATCGACCAATCCATTAGTTGGAACACAATTCATTGTCAAAGGTCAAAATTTCAATGCAGATACTTCACAGCATTTTGGTTCAGCCGTGACCATAGATTATGGTTTACAAACTGGAGAGTCTAAACCACTTTATGGATCTAGTTTAGTGGTCAATGGATATACTCAACAAAACGCTGAAGTACAGTCACAGCAGTTCTATCCAGATGAACAAAATCATAATTTTGCACCTCAAAATTTACCTGGGGGACAAGAATTCATACCGAGACTCCCTCCAAAATCAGAACCAGCTAATAGTAACACAAATTATCCAGGACAGATTCAACAGCAACTCCCTAACAGGCAAAATTTTGTTCAAAATCCGCCAACAAAATCTGAGCCAATTAATAGAAACACAAATTATCAAGGACCTGTTCAACAACAATTTCCTATCAAGCAAAATTTCAATCAAAATCCACTATTAAAAACACAACCAATTAATAGTAATACTAACTATCCTGGATCTTATCAACAGCAATTTCCTATTCAACAAAATTTCAATCAAAATCCTCTATCAATATCTCAACCAATTGATAGTAATACAAACTATCCCGGATCTGCTCAACAACAGTTTCCTATTCAACAAAATTCTAATAAAAATCCATCAAGGACCAATCCTAATGGATATGCAAATCCAGAGCAAGGAACTATACCATTTTCAAACGGTCAGTCAATTGTTGAAGGTCATCAATTTTTACCAAATCCAAATAACTACGGAATACCCAATAACTATGGTAATGTTGAAGAAACACAGAATAATTATTTATCTGAACAAGAACAAGAACAAATAAATCAACAAAAAAATAAAGTACGATTTCCATCCCCGTATCCATATCCACAAAACAGTTATAATGGAAATCAAAAACCAGTATCATCAAATCCTTCTAATGTTAATCCTAATTCTTGGATTCGAGGACAGCTCAAGGTGAAACAAGGTTCTAGTTTAAGCTCTAGTTCTAACACAAATGAACAATCAGAATATGAAGAATTTCAAACACCTAATAATCAATTCAACAAACCAGCATCAACGTTTGATTTAGGTAATAGACAACAAACAGAGCACAATAAACCAAATAATTATGATTCATCAAGAGATGCAAGTCAAACTCACATAGATTATGGGCAACAATCTTCTATACCAAATGGTCAAGGTTATAACTCAAAATCTTCACCAGATTATTCAGCTCACTCCATGGTTAATGGACATGCACAATCACAGTATTCAAATCCAATACCACAAGATAGACGAACTAATGGAGACTCAAAAATGAATAAACAATTTAAAATAGTTGTTCCTAATATTTCCAAACCTATTGATAACATACAACAGTCAAAACCAAACATAGAATTGAGTTTTAACAGAGATTCTGCTGGTAGAAGATTACCAAATAATTATAATGGTTTACAATACCCTAAGCAAAAAGAAGATTCAGGTAAAATTCAAAATCCTAGTTACACAGATAATATTCAATCTCCTTCACAAGAATCTCCAGTATACTCATCATCAACTACTAATTCTAAGTGTCCAAATGGCTTCAGTGGTATTAAACCACATCCTACAGAATGTTCCAAATTTCTGAGTTGTGCAAATGGTAGAACATTTGAAATGGACTGTGGTCCTGGAACATTATTTAACCCAACTATATCTGTATGTGATCACCCGTATAATGTGGAATGTAATCAATTAGTAAGACCTACATCAACCGCAATAGAAGAAGATTATATTTATACTACACCAACCACAATACAAGAAGATTATAATCCACCCATTGATATGAGACAAGAGTTTGATCATGAAACTAGTAATAGTGATTTGGTAACTGAAACTGAGCCACTAGAAAATCATAATCAAGCAGTGTTAGAAACTTTGCCAAGCGAAAATAAACAGTCAAAAATCTTAAGAAACCCAACATCTATTGATTTAGCAGATAACTTTTTGCAAAACACTTCTATTATGCATACACCCCCTAAAATTGTAAACAACAGAGTCAACAACAATGTAGCAGTGAGAATTGATTTGAAACCAAATAGTACTCAGTCTATTCGGTTACGTGGAGGTCCAAAAAGCTCCGAAGGATTTTTACAAGTTCAAGGAAAGCCTTTTCAATGGGGTGTAGTTTGCGATGAACTCAACTCATGGACAATCGAGAAAGCAGATATTGTTTGTAAACAACTTGGATTTAAGAGGTACTTATCATTATACATTTTTTATGCAATGACTAAGCAATACATTTTTGGAATGCTAGTAAACTTAATTCAATGTAAAATATTTTATTTACATTTTAAGCTTTGTGAAATTACACAATTTTTTTGTTGGAAATAATTAATAATCATGATACTAATTTATTGTCAACTTTAATTAGAGGAGCAGAACAAACATGGCAAGGTTTAACTGTGACTACTGATAATCCTACTAGATTGTTAAGAAATATAGGAGTTACTAAAGTATCATGTAATGGCCAAGAAAGTGTATTTCATAATTGCAAGCTTCAAAATGGTAAGTTTTCTACAAGAATCTTACAAAAACCAAATACTATTTATTTAATAACAATCTATAACAATCTTTTTTATACTAAATAATAAGATGATACATTTATGAGCATTAATCACAAAATCATTTAAATATCTATATTATGCATGTTGTAAAGACTGCAGAAATAGATTTGATTTCAAAAAGTAGAATACATTTTATAATGCTTATAAAGGTTGAATTCTACTAAATTACTCTTGCTGCCTTACCAAATATAATCTGAACCCATATGTATTAGACCATAATTCAAGTCTAAAATATTGATAAGTTATAAATTTATAACATACCTATTATATTACATTATTGCTACAATAGAAGGGATCATTAAAATAGCAGCCTATGGATTTCATGCAGCCTGTGGAACTTTATCTGGCCCGCAAACAAGACGTTAGATTATGCTTTATTAAAAAAAATTTTTTTTTTCGATGAATTAATATCAGAATTTTTATTTGATTTCTGATAAACATATACTTTAAATGTTAGCCCCCCCCCCCCCGAAAACTTCTTGAATTCCAAAACTGGCCTTCCAAAAATATTAATTGGTATCTCTGCTATAATATTATAATTTAATATTTATTTTATTGTTACCGCCATCATTATGCATTGATCAAAATTGATCAATGTAATATCTATACAATGCTATTATTTATAATTATAACTTATCGGATCTAATAGTATGTATTACATTTTAGTTAAAGAAAAGGTAAGTTTTGTCATAAGTTAAACCTTAAAACAATTTAGTTCTCAAATTTATTAATTTATAAATCATAATCCCATTTTTTTTTTAAATTGTGATTGGTCAAAATTATATCTCGCTTGTTATATATTTCACAATTTATAACCAGATGTCCTGCAAATGTATTTTAAAATAATTCTATGATTTTAGTTTTAAAAATATTTTATTATTGAAGTATAAAAACAAACAACTAATTATGATTTCAATAGAATATAATATATTTATAATAGTGTTCTTTTTAAATTATACAAGACATGTAAACAGATCGAATATATGATTTTATAGTACATTAATCTATTATTTTATTTCGTCATTAAATTACAGATAAAGCTTGTAATGTTGAAAGAGACGCTGTCTGGGTGAAATGTCGATCAAATTCAGGCTCTGAATGTCAACCGGAAGAAGTGTCGTTTGATGGAAAATGTTATAAATTATTTGTTCCTGTACTAGAAAAACAAAGTAAAACTCAAGACATTGGCTATAGCAAAGCTGAAGCATTAGAACACTGTCTTAAACGGGGAGGAAAGCTTTTAGATATTAGCTCACAAGTAAAATTTCCAAATTATTTATGATAAAAATTAAAAAGTATAAACATAAATTTGAAAAAAATCACTCATTTTTATTAAATGTTTTATTTTTTTTTTTTTTTAAAGTTACAACAAAAAAGTATTTACTATCAGT